GAATGCTATTTTCATGCACGCGAGCTTGAAAAGTAGCCCCCGAAAAAATAAATTTTATTTTTTTTCCTGCACGTGACGTCCTCCCGCTGCACGCGTGGCGGCGCCCTCTGGGGGGCGAACCCTCGGTGATAACGCTCGATTCGACTTGCAGGATGGGTATCAGCGGTGTGGGCGGAGCGCAGCAGCCCGCCGCTGACGCCGCCAAGTACGACCCGGCCACCAGCGCCACCTGGAGGATGATCCACGAACAAGAGACCGGCGGCAAGCCCGGAGGCGCCCCGGCCAGATCCCCGGCTGCCGTCAACGGTAACTATCCCAGCCACGGCTGATTGGTCGGCGGCGCGGTCACGCGGCCTGTTCCTCGCGCGCGATTGGTGTTCGGCTCGGGAGTAGGAGGCGGGAGATACCATAAGGATGGGTTAGTGCGTTAGAGGGTTGGCTAGTAGAGTGAGGTAATAAGCTGCTGAAGGGGGTGGGTTAAGGATGGGTGTTACAAAGTACTAAAAAGTCTTAAGTTATACATTATTATTAATTATGTAATTCCTATTAAAGTCTACACGCCTAGACCTTCACATATCCCCAGGTACACTAAATCTCTGAACTGCCTCTCTTCTCCGGCATATTTACATGATTTACATCCCCCGACACCTTCCCCTTTCACCGTCCACCTTCCCGTAATGTCTTCTCAGTTCTTTGGCGTGCTGCACTTCCCCAGGCTGGATAGATATCCAGACACATTCCCCTTCCACTGCCCACCTTCCCGTATTGTCTACTTAGTTCCTTCTTTGCCATTCTGCCCTTCGCCAGGCTGGTTAGATATCCAGACACCTTCTTTTACCGTCCACCTTCCTGTAATTTCATCTCGGTTCTTTACCACTCTGCCTTTCCCCCAGGCTACATAGAAATCCAGACACCTCTCCCCTTACCGGAATGTCAACTCAGGTTTCTTGGCAGCCTGCCCTTCCCCCCTCCCCCCCAGGCTGTCTAGATCTCTAGACAAATGCCCTTGCTGCCTCGTTAGTTGTGAATGGAGAGCCTTGTCTACTCTACGCGCTCGCTCATGACTCGAGGTGAGACGCTAGGGTTTGTAAACATCATTTATATAGATCTAAGTAATTAGATGTCACCAACTCGTTTGTGAGTGTCCCCACCTCTCTCTATCTCTCTCTCTCTCTCTCTCTCTCTCTCCCTCTCTCTCTCTCTCCCTCTCTTTCTCTCTCC